AAAGAAGGAAAAAAAGAAATAAAGAAAAAAAAAAAAAGGGCCTGGGGCTCTGCTCCGCGCGCCCGTCACGGCGCGGTCGCGGGTGCCGTCGGTGCCGCCGCGGCCGCAGCCTCCCCGGAGCCCGCGCTCCTTCCGCGCGTGTTCTAAGCGCCTGAAGCAGCGGGGCAGGAGCCGCCCCGCGAGGCTGCCCTTGGCGAGCGGCCCCGTCGGGGAGGCGGCGGCCCCCGCGGGCACCTGTTGGGCCGGGGGCTCCGGGTTGGGTCCCGCGGGGCGCAGCGGGCGCGGGCCGAGCGCGGAGCTGCCTCTCCTGCCGCTCCCCCGGGCTGGGCTCTGGGCGCCCACGGGAAAAGAGGGGAAAAATGCGAACGCTCTTTGAAAATAGCCCTGGACGGTGAAATAGGAGGTAATCTCCGGAGACATCCTTCGCCGGGGTGGCAGAGGTCCCGCGGGCTGCACAACGCAACGTGCGGCGAAATGCAGCCCGTGCCTTGTTTAAGCCAGGGGAAAAAAATCAAAACAAGGAATGACAAGCGAAATCCTCTCAAATTCCCTGTTTCTCCCTCCCGCTCCGAACCGATGTGCGCCCTGTCCCTCCTCTGAGGCCGCACACGGGAGCGGTATCCGGGAGAGAGAGCGAGCGCGGAGCGGGAGCAGCGCGGGCCCCGGCGCGGGGTGTCACGGGCTGCGCGGAGCGGAGCCCCCGCCGCGCAACCGCCGCCATCCAAAGTTGCGCGTCTGCTGCGCGGGGAAGTTCTTGCCCGTTACTTAAGGAGCTCCCGGTAATTACACGGCAAGGGACGGGCGCGCAGGAGCCGAGCTCTGGAGCGACGCGGGGCGCACGCAGCGCAGGTAAAGCAGCAGAGCAGAGGGCAGGGCGAGCGCGGGGCTCGGCGCGAGCAGACGCTGCCACCAGCAGCGCCGCTCCCGAGGGGCGCACAGGGCTGGGGAGAGGCGATCCGGCCTCCGGAAAACGCGACTTTCCGAGTGTTTAGCCAGCGATGGCTCTGTAAAATAAAATCCTCTTTCGAGGGACATCCTGTCGCTCGAGACACGCTTTTTTTTTTTTTTTTCTTTCTCTTTCTTTTTGGTCTCCCTAGGTACGGGGGAAACGGAATGTATGTTGCTTAACTGTCTTTGGCTTTCAGCAGGGCAATGTAACTACAAAGCATCCTCACTTTCTTCTGCAAAGAAAGCAACAAATACGCTGTGTCTGGAATAACTTCTAGCATTCTGCAAAGAAAAAAAAAAAGTAACGCGCTTTCACAGAACGGCGGCGAACGTTATTCGCATCCAACGCGGAGAGCAGCGCGGCGGCCTGCGAGGGCCCGCTGAACGGAAGGAAAGGTTTGTGCCCGCACGAGGGTCACCGCGCGGGAGGGCAGCGCGCGTCCCGCCCGCACTGCGGAGCGCAGAGACGCGGCCAGCGGTGCCGATCCCAGGCTGCCCGTGTCCCGCGGGCGGCGCCATCCCGGGACGGGCAAGGCGGGAGAGAGGGAAGGAGGGAGGTCGCGCGGCGGCGGCGGCGCCGAGTTTTATCCCGCGGCCGCGGCGCGACACGCGCGCCCAGCGCGGCGCGCGGCGCCCCCCGCGCGCTGATTGGCTGCGCGGGCGCTGCCGCGCGCGCGGCCCGCGCCGCCATTGGGCGGGCGCCGCCGGCTGCGCGCCTTCAAAGCGCGCGCGCCCCGCGCCCGGCCCGACTTTGGCCCCGCGGAGCCACCAGCGTCCTCGGTGCCGCGGGGCAGCGCGGGCCGCACCGCGCGCTCCCTCCCGCCCGCCTCCGCGCTCCCCCCGCCACGGCACGGGCTATGGCTACGTCCATCCTCGGGGTAAGTCGGCGCCCGCCTGTCCGACGCGCGCGGCTTTGCCCTTCGGTTTTCGTTGCGGCTCCGCGCGCGCGGGTCGCCGCCCGCGGGAATCGCTGGCGCGGGGCTGCGCATCCCCGCGGTGCAAACCGCGCTGCGCTGCGACGGGAGGGTGATTTCGATTCGTTCCGCGGGCTCCCTGCCCAGGCTCCCGGCGAGCCGCAGTATAAAAACTCTTGCGAGCGGGTCCGACTCGCGCCGGTTCCGCTCCCGAGACGGGACGCGCTGACGGAGGGCGCGCCCCGCACGGCGCCCGCTCCGCGCGCTGCCCGCAGCGCTCCCGCAGCGCGGTCGGCGCTGCCCTCGGGGCCAGCCCGCCGCTCCGCGCGCCGCACCGCAGCTCTGCCCCAGAGCCCAGCCTCCAAAAGGGAAAAGAAACGAAAACGGACACACGGAAAGGGGAAAGTTTGCGGCGGAGGCGCCGGCGGGGCCCTCGCGGCTGGGCTGAGGCTCACGGGCTCTGCTTTGTCTCCCGCTTAGGAAGAGCCGAGATTTGGGACGACCCCGCTGGCCATGCTGGCCGCCACCTGCAACAAGATCGGCAACACCAGCCCGCTCACCACGCTGCCCGAGTCCAGCGCCTTCGCCAAGGGCGGCTTCCACCCCTGGAAACGCTCCAGCTCCAGCTGCAGCCTGGGCTCCAGCCTCTCGGGCTTCACGGTGGCCACGAGCCGGGGCTCGAGCGGCCTGGCGAGCGGCACGGGCACGGCCAGCAGCGCCTTCTGCCTGGCCTCCACCTCGCCCACCTCGTCGGCCTTCAGCAGCGACTACGGCGGCCTCTTCTCCACCTCGGGGGCGGCGGCGGCGGCCGGGGTGTCGCCGCAGGAGCCCGGCGGCCAGTCCGCCTTCATCTCCAAGGTGCACAGCTCGGCAGCCGAGAGCCTGTACCCGCGCGTGGGCATGGCGCACCCCTACGAGTCCTGGTACAAGTCGGGCTTCCACTCCACGCTCTCGGCGGGCGAGGTGGCCAACGGCGCGGCCTCCTCGTGGTGGGACGTGCACAGCAACCCGGGCTCGTGGCTCGAGGTGCAGAACCCGGCGGGTGGGCTCCAGGGCTCGCTGCACTCGGGCGCCCCCCAGGCCTCGCTGCACTCCCAGCTGGGCACCTACAACCCCGACTTCAGCTCGCTCACGCACTCCGCCTTCAGCTCCACGGGCCTGGGCTCCACGGCCGCCTCGCACCTGCTCTCCACGAGCCAGCACCTGCTGAGCCAGGAGGGCTTCAAGCCCGTGCTGCCCTCGTACCCGGACTCGAGCGCGGCGGTGGCGGCCGCGAGCGCCATGATCTCGGGCGCGGCGGCGGCGGCGGCCGGCGGCGGCTCTGCCCGCTCCGCGCGCCGCTACTCGGGCCGCGCCACCTGCGACTGCCCCAACTGCCAGGAGGCCGAGCGGCTGGGCCCGGCGGGCGCGAGCCTGCGGCGCAAGGGGCTGCACAGCTGCCACATCCCYGGCTGYGGCAAGGTGTACGGCAAGACGTCGCACCTGAAGGCGCACCTGCGCTGGCACACGGGCGAGCGGCCCTTCGTCTGCAACTGGCTCTTCTGCGGCAAGCGCTTCACGCGCTCCGACGAGCTGCAGCGGCACCTGCGGACTCACACGGGCGAGAAGCGCTTCGCGTGCCCCGTGTGCAACAAGCGCTTCATGCGCAGCGACCACCTGAGCAAACACATCAAAACGCACAACGGGGGCGGCGGCGGCAAAAAGGGCAGCGACAGCGACACGGACGCCAGCAACCTGGAGACGCCGCGCTCCGAGTCCCCCGACCTCATCCTGCACGACGGCGTGGGCGCCGCGCGCGGCCCCGCCAAGGAACCCACCGCGGCGCCCGGCGACTCCTAGGGGCAGCGCCCGCCCCGCTCCGCGCCCCGCGCCCCGCTCCGCGCCGCTTTGTTTCGGCGCCGCCGCGCGCAGCCCCCGCGCAAGCCCCGCGCAAGCCCCGCGGCGCTCACCCATGACGAGGCAGAGGCAGTCGAGGCAGACGAGCCGCGCCGCCGCCGCCGCCGGGACTCGAGCGCAGCCGCGGGACGCGCCGGGCCCGGCCCCGCCGCCGGGGACTCCCGCGCAGCGGGGCCCGCCCGCCAAGTAGTTACAAAGTGACACTTTTTTCCTTTTTTCTTTTTCCTTTCGTTTTCTTCTCTCTTTTCTTTTTTTTTTTTTCCTTTTTCCTGTTCAAAGGAAAACATCCTAAGAGAGGCTTAAGGTGAGACACTAAACTGCCAGCCCGAGACAGCCCCTCTGCATCTCATGAACATCTGTACAAATAGGGTTCAAAACCAGATTGTGTTCGCCTATTTTTTTTCTTGTAAATGTTGATCTGGTACCGGGACTTGGGGGATTTTTTTCTTTTTTTTTCCTTTTTTTTTTTTTAAATCGGTGAATTCCTGAAATTCAGGGAGGTTTGGGGAATTTTTTTTAAATTTAAATTTCTGATGCACTTTGTGGAAGTCAGTATATATGTAAAAGATATTTAAAATGTTGAGTTAACATTTCACTAAAAAAAAAAAAAAAAACCCACGTAAGTTAAGGTCACTTAAAGAAATTAAATGCGTTTATCTGTATGAAAAAAAATCTCGACATATTTTCATTTTGGTATTATTAAAGGACTCTGAACAATAAACTCGCGGATTGTCCTCATTCGCGCCCCCTCCACAGCCCTCCCAGGGGCCGGGGTTTCAGAGGGAGCCTCCGCATCCCTCCCCATCCTCCTGTGGGTCACTGGGATTAAAAACAGGGAGCGCGTTCAGAGACAGGGGAAGGAGCCGGCCCGAGTGGGGCGAGCTCGGCGCTTCCCGGAGATCCTTCCACCCGCATTAGCTTTTTATAATAATAAATATATCTAGTCCGAGCAGCACCAAAATTCCCGACAATCGCTCCGAGCCAAGCGATTTCTTTTTCTTTTCTTTTTTTTTTTTTTTTTTTTTACCCGGTAAAACTGACCCCCGAATCGCCCGAAATTCAAGAGTGCCGAGGAACTATTTATTTAATTTTAAAAGCCTTCAGCGCCACAAGGCTGCCCAGGCTGGGGGGAGATCTCGGGGGAATAAATCGCTAGAGTCAATACTCCGGAAAAGACATTTCATGCCTAAATGAAAATCTTGTTAAATGTTATTAATTTTGACTTAGAGCACACAGCAGCCCCCTGTGCCTTGTATTCCCTTATTAGGGATTCATGTCTTATCAAATATCTAATTAATCTCCTAGACATCATTTGTTCTGGCCAACTTTATCTCAGCTGGTCCACGGGGAAAACTCGGGATATTCTCGGTGACAAAGCTCCCTTGAAGATCCTTTTAATTGTCCAAATTAACTGCACCAAATTTGCATGTCAAACGGTAAAGGGCAACCTGAGATAAAATGTAAACGTTTTAAAAGCCCCAAACTAAGCACTTGATTTGATAACTAGGCTTTTTAATGTTATGGAAGACAACTGCTCCTTTCCTTTTCAAAGACAGTTGATCTATGCAAATAGTGAATTGGAAATGCTTATGTCCCCATGCAGTCAAATGGTCCTTGCATGTTATTTGAATATCAGTGGCTCTGCTATTGAAAAGGTTCAAGGATGCTCTCTGACTTCTTTGTGATTACTCAGTGCAGCGTCTTATTCTGAAGAAAAAAAACTCGGGAATAATTAAAGGCTGGGCTAAGGCCTGGGAACACATTTGGGACAGGAATCTCATTTAGACAGGCTCTTTCAAAATAAGGCACAGTTAAATTGACCAGAAGGCAATTATTGAAATGAAAATTATTTTCACTCCCTTTGTCTCCTGACCACCAACCTAACAGCCACGGTATTTTTTTTTTTTTAAGGCAAATTGTTAAATGAGATAATTGTGTTATTAAAAAAAAAGGGGGGAGGATTTTAAAAAAAAATAAAGGAAAAGAAAGTTAATTCGGGCTGCCCGGCGTGGCGAGCACAGATATCGAGATGCTCCTCGGACGGGAATGCTAATCCCGCCGGGAAGCGGCTCCTGCCGCCGCGCGCGGGGCCGGTGCGGGCAGCGGGCGCATCTGCCGCCCGCGCGGAGCCTCCGCGCCTCCCGCCGCCGCCCCGCGCGCAGCTGCCGCGGGAGGCGCTTTTGTTCCGCGGCCATAATAAGGCCGCTCAGAGGGGGCCGCGCGGCGCGCTGCGCGCCCGGCCGCGGCGGCGGTTCCCAGCCCAGCGATCAAGGGGCGCCTCGCGCCGCCTTTGCCCCGCGGGTCACGGCACGTCCATCAGCCGCGGGCTGCCCCGAGCGGCAAGGGAGCAGCGCGGGGCCGCCGCGCCGCTCCGTTTAGCCGGCAGAATAGGAAGCATGTCACCTTTTGGGGAAGAAATGACACCATTCTTTCCTACATGTTGGCGATAATTATATGGTCTGAGGAACTTCGGCACAAAGGAGAAGCCTAAAGGGCAGCAGTGTGAGAACGGCGGAATAAGCGCGGGTTCGCTGGGAGCCCGCGCTGCCGCAGCGGGCGGTGCGCGCCGAGGCCCGAGGGCAGCGGGCGCCTCTGCGCGGCCCCTTGCTCCCCCGCACCTAGCTCGCAACGGGGCTAACGGCACCGGCTAACGGCACCGGGCTAACCCCGGCAACGGGCCGGGCGGCTCCGCCGGTGCCGGGCCGGGCGGCGCCTTCCCCGCGGCCGCTCCGCACCTCGGCGCCCAGGGAAACTTTCCCGCGGGCGCCGTTGGCGCGGCGGGAGTGCGGGCGCGCCAGGCGCTTGCTTGAGGTGCGCACGGCCGCGGCGCGCGGTTCCTCCGCAAGCGGTTCCTCCGCGCGCCTGCGGCCCGGCAGGAGCGGCGGGGGTGGCGGCCCGGCTCGCTGGCGCTCCCCGCGCCGGCCGCCGCGCCGCTCCGCGGCTCGTTGGCGCCATCTAGGGGCGCAGGGCGGCGCTGCCGGCCCGCGCGGGCTGCGCGGGGCCGTTGGGGGCGCGGGGCCGGGCGGAGCGCGGCGCTGAGCGCGGCAGCCCGGCGCGGAGGAGAGACACACACGGAGGGGAAGGAGGCGGCGGTGCCGGCGCGCACCCACCTGCCGAGACGGAGCCGCCGCCGGGAGCCGGGCCGGGCCGCCCCGCCGCGCTGCCGGGGTCGCAGCCGGGCGCTCCCGTCCCGCCCGCGCTTATGGGCGCTGCGCAGCCCGCGGGGCGGCGGCAGGTGCCGCGAGCGGCGCTAATGGGCGCCCGTGCGGCGGGGCGCGCAGCCCTGTCCATCGCCTGGCACCGCGGCGCCTGCCGCAAAATGCGAAATTGCCTCCCAGCCTAAGGCTGCCTTACCTGAATGTCATAATTACAGTAATTATGTACATCCAAATTACATGCTAATTAAATTAGAATCAAATCGCTCTAAATCGAAATCAAATGAGGTAGCGAGAATTAATCAATGACAACATAAATAGAGAGCTTCCTTTGGGGATATTTATTGTAAGGATCCGCGCGCGGCCTTGGCCCCAAGTCACCCGCGTGGCTGCCGCCCCTAGGGCAGTGCGTGGCTGCCCGCCCCGTCCCGCGCGCGCGGTCGGACACGCCAGAACCGGCCGCACATGCGGGGCAGAGGGGCCCGGCCGGGCCCGGCCGCCGTGAGGCGGGGCGGCGCCGGCTGCCCGCCAGGCCGCAGGTGGCCGTTAGAGGCGGCCGTTAGAGGCGACCGTTACAGGTGCCGCCCCTCCCCCCGCGCGCCGCCTGCCGCGGGGGCCGTTGGCGCCGGGCGCGGCTCCGGGCGCCATGCTCGGGCCCGCAGCACCTCCTGCCGGCGCGGGCGCACAGGCAGCGCGGCGGCGCTAGGGGACCCTTCGGGGAGCGCTTGCGGCGCCCGAGCAGCCCCTAACTAACCTGTGCTGTCAGCAAACGCCTCACTTCCCCCGTCACCTGAGTCAGTCCTCTCTTATGCAGAGGAATAATAAATTGTGCGCAAGAGTTGCTGTTTAGATTAAGCCGAGGAGGTCTCCGGTAGTGCCCTCCTGCTCCCTCGGTGCTTTCTCGCAGACGTTATCTCTAGGCTCTAGGGAGCTGTGCGTGCCCCGCACCTCACAGCTCCTGCACCAAGAGAGCCCGTCACAACGCCCGGCAAAGGCACTTGGAAGGGAACGGTGACGACTCCACGTTGCTCCCCCTTTCAAAGCCATGCTCAGTGCTTCAAACACAGGCCAGGCCCTTTCTACACATACTAAAATCCATCTGATATAGTTTTTTTTCTCTATGATGATTTTAGAAGCAGATGGGGACTGGTAATACAAGAAAGGCCTCATTCTTCTCATGGGCAAAACCAAAGCTGCTTGCCAGAATACAGAGTAGGATGACACCTTTTCACCCCAAAGAGGCAAAGAAACAGCCCCTTTGCAATAAGTACACCTCAGGAAAGTGCTGCCCTTTGCATTAGTACTGACTAAGAACACTGGCAAGGGTGCTAATTCTTACCGTTTTTAAACATGACAATTTATTTTGGAAGTTTATAACAAGGTTGAAGAAAATGGTTGACAATCATAAAGAAATATATATATATCTTTTTCCCCATGGAAACCAAAGAACAAATATTTACAGTAACTTTCTATCACAAACAATGAAATACCTTAAACAGTCGAGGCACTAAATATTCTTTTCATGTCTTGAGAGATTATTGAACAATAACTCGACATTGTACTGACATATATCAACAGGGGTTCGAGATGTTTAGATAGCCCTGACCAAGCTGTGCACCGCAGGAGGTCAAAAAAACGTTGGCTACACACTTATGTGAACTATGGCTCTCTGTTGTTTTAACTCATGAAATTGATCTCTTATGGGGAACTTTAGGAAAAAACGTTTCAGGATGGAAAAAAAAAAGCCCTCTACCATCTGATGTTTTGACACGTGAAGCAGTGATTTTATCCAGCTCTATCTCAAACATCTGTTATCATTTGAAATATCCCAGGACTCTTCCCAAATTACCCTCTGAGTCCCCTCACAGTCACACTGAAACAGAAATCATCATCGTCAAAACCTAGAGCGTCACATACTGCTCCGCAATATTTTAAAACACTAAAATCAAGTCTATGGTCTGTGACTTACTGCATGAATACAAGAAATACTTACCAACAAGCATATTTATACTGTAAGAAAAATACAGTAACATTTGTACCTAATTTACAAATATTCCCACATTATAGAAATTACGCTGTCGGTTTTATGTAGGAAATGAGAGTTACAGAGGTTGGAAAATGAGCAGCAATACATAATTGAGCCCTTGTTAAAGGTATTCATCAAAAATGGAGACATTTTTATTTGCACCTGTCCCCGCACTATCTGTTTTTTTTCCGCTCCCGGCTCCTGCTTCTGCTGCGCCTGCTGCTCTCTCTATGCTCCGCTTTCCCGCGCTTGTCTCCGTAGTGCGCTCCACATTTTCTCCTCTCCCTGTGCACATCTGCGCTGGGGCTCCTGGCTTCATTTCTCCTGTGCCGTTCTTCACCAGGGCTTTGACTTGGACTTTTTCTCACTTGTCTCTGCCTGTTGCTGCTGTGGCTTGTGCAGGGGCTTCTCCTGCTCCTCTCATCCGCGCTTGGGCTTCTGCCATCCCTCTCCTTTCTTTCAGGCTCTCCCTTGCTGGAGCTGTGGTGTCTACTTTTGGACTTTCTTTCCCCCTCGCAGGAGTTCCATTTGTTGTTCTCCGCCGAACTATCTTGCTTTAAAAGCCTATACTTCTCCCTATCTTTGTCCTTGTTACCGTGACTACTGGAGAGATCTTCATAAAGTTTTTCCTTGCTAGTCTTCGCCTTTCCTTCTGAATCGCTGCTGCTATCCTCTGAAAACTTGTCTTTTTTTCTTTTCTTAGAATACATCTTCTTTTGTGCTCCTTTATCTCTGCTGTCAGTCTCACTATCACTGCTGCTTCCTGAAGTCTCACTGGAGGATGAGGAAGAGGATCTTGTCTTATGTTTCTTGTGTTTACTTTTACTTTTTTTCTTTTGCTGCTTTTTCTTCCTTTTGTCTTTCTTTTTCTTTTTCTTTTCCAAACGATCCAATTTCCTTTTATTTCCAAAAATAAGAGGAGAGCAATCAGATATACTAAGACATGTTAAAATACGTCTGTATCTCGCACTACTTTACAGTAAATACAGCATTTTCTATAAAAGCATGTTGGATTTCTCTCCTTTCTGCAAAGTCATATTTTAAAATTTATGACCTTGAGTTCACCATAGCTACAATCCTCCTGTATTCCAGAATGGTTCTCTCTCCAAACAGGAGATAGATTAAAAAACAACAACAACAAAAAACTTAATTTAGAGAGAAAGCAAAAATGTGAGCATTCTAAGTAAGAATACATTTAGCAGTACTTTTCTTTAATGTCAACCTACTTTGGAGACTTTGAAAATAATTTGCTGCTTTTTGTTTGTGCACTTTTATAATAAAGAGATTTTGAAAATGAAAAATTGGCTATTAGTATTCATTTCCTAATAACTATGGAAACCAAAAAAACAGCTCTGCGGGCAAATAACAGTGATGTTTTTGATCATTTCTTTTGTCACAAACAGAAATGTATCATTTCTAGTCATCTTCTGTCATGAACACTACAGTGGCTGCTATTCAATTGCTTTTACCTATTTTTTGATTTCAGCCTCTTGCTGTCTGTTTATTCTTAACAAGGAATCAGTAACCAAAAAGTAAAAACACTTTTAGTGTATTAAAAAAATATGATTCCTGCCTGAAATGTGGAGGGCCTAACTATTCACTGAACTTCAGCTTGGAAAATATAAAGAATTGTAGCTTAATTGTGCTGGACCTGCAAGTTCAAATATTTTTAAATGACTCGGACTACACAACATTTGTTACTTAAAATTAATATATGTCCAGTATTTTCAGAGAATGATTATATATACAAACATAATATGTACCTAGCTACTCATGCATCTACCTATGCATTTCTTCCTTTAATGTTGAAAATTAACAGAGCCAAAGTGTGAGCAACGTTAATCACATGTAATCAGCTGGACAGAAGCAAGGCATGAAAACCTTTTTCTTGCAGTTCTCTGGAGAAATCACCTCGGGCAGCTCCCTCTGCTGGCTTAGCTGCATCTGCAAACCGCAACCCCCTGCCGCGGGGCAGAGCTGGGGGCTCAGCTGCACTGCCAGAGCTACCAGCTTGGCTACCTTGTAAGGCAGTAAGCAAGGACATGGCAGTTTTAATAATGGAAAAAGATGCTCTCAATGACGGAGTGCAAATAATACTTTAAAAGAGGAATTAACAATATTTTAAATGATTCGATACGTATATGTCATGCTAGAGTGCTTATTTCAGCATCAGAAATGAATTAGAAATAAAGCTCCAAGGGTATCAAAACTAAACTAAAAGACTCAGATTAAACGCCCCCCTCCCCCCCCCCAACACACGCAAACAATAAAATACCCCACCGAACTGATCAAGGCAAAAACATGCTGCATAATGCCATTTGTGGTCAAGTATATGTCAAATTAAAACGATTTTCCATGCTATTGCTAAATTCTGCAGTGGCACAGAAGATGTACAGACAAGCATGTAAATAAAGCTACAGTCTCAAAACCAGCAGCTATATAGAACCCCTCCACCAGGTACCACCCATTACCTTAGAAGTTTCTGTTTTTGTTTGGTTGACAGTGATTTTAAAAATTCAACTTCTGGATCATCGTCTCCTTCACTTGCGACAAATTCCTGGAAAAATGTAGTAAGATATTAGGTTCTTCAACAAAAATAGCCTCTCAAATCAGAGTTCTGTATTAAAGTTGACACTTCTCCGTGTACCTTACATTTCCCTAGGCACAAACACATTTGTATGACCACATCAGCTCAGAACACTATTTGATACAAAGAAGAAACCCATTTTGCCTCAAAAAGGAGATGCTATGACGCAGCGGCCGTATAAAAGAAGTTATTAGTAACATATGAAACACTACTGCTAGGGAGAGAAGCATTTCTAAAATAGTTGATAAAAAAGAGCAAATCTTGGAGCCCACATGATGTCCTAAAATAAGTCATTTATCATTCTTGGAGGATGGAGAAGACTCTAGTCCTACTCAAAGCCAAAGCAATTTAGGAACATTATTTTTTGCTGCCTCAGTGTAATGGTTAGGAAAATGGATGTTACAAACACCTACCTCTAAACTGTTACGTTATTTGTCTTTCGACGTTCATGAAATATTCTGGCAATGCAAAATTTTGTAATCACATAATCTATAAACAGTAACGCAATAAGCAAAGCAGATACTCAGAGACCTTGAATTCTTCAAGTCGTATGCAACTGGTGCAGCAGACAGCAGAGCTCTCTGCTGTGCCACACTCAGAAGGAGAAAGAGGATATAAAGGTAAAAAGCTCTTCCAAAAAGAAGAAAATAGAAAACAAAACCAACCATTCTCAATAATCCTTATATCACTGATAAATTTAATACTGCCCACATGCTACCTATCTTCTGGGATTAATACAAAAATACATCTCTGCTTAAATGCCAAGGAACACAAGGAGCTGTCCATTTACTCAGGCTTTTCGGGACGAGTGAGGGCTGCTGGTCACCCTGGTCACCTGCTGGCCGGACTGTCTTGCTGCATGAACAAAGGTTACTTTATGGGGACTCGCTCAAGCAGTGTATGCAAGGGGCTCGTTTTACATTTCTATTAAAGTACCTCCTTAGAAGGGTGCCTTGAGAAGCCTAAATAAAATCAATTAAATATTTTCACTCCAAATAACAACAGATGCAACAATAGCCAGTTAAGTCAAAAATCTTCATATATAAAATTTCTGTCAGCAATTGATGCGTCTCCAAGCTTCATTCAAAGGGTAGTAACACAGAATTCCCTTTAGTGAAAATTTTCCAGTCAGCCAGAGGGAGGTATTTAATTCATTAACAATGGGTTATAGAAATGTGACATTCTGACTAAAAGCAGGAAAACACAGCAAGTTCCTGGCTATTTTTCTGCTAGCATGGCTGTTCAGCTTTCCTATGGATATGCATATTGGAAAACATTAAGTAGCAATTCCCAAGCAATCACATTTAGATTTATAGACATTTTCAGCTTACTGGTAAAAAGATCATTACCTGTGATGGATCATTTACGGTCAAGTTTCTCCCCAGTACATTTCGTTTCAGTGCAAACCCACTGTTTCTCATCTCCGCTATTAGCTCCGAGGGGTGCATTGATGGCCCTGCTCACAAAAATCACAGTTTGAATGTATCATTTATATCTCTCTACCTTTTTTGGACTCCACAGTAGGAATTCAGTTGAAGCTTTGTTAAGTAAAATCACAGCTAAATCAACTCAATAATCTTCTGCTGGGCAAATAATCAGATATGATTTTCTAAAACAGCAGTCTGGAGATTCAGAATAGAAAATAATTGCATTTTTCTTTAAGAGCAAGGGGATTCTCTTATGTAACTTTGTCACATTGAAAACAATATATTTAAGTCTAGCAGTATATTTTTATTATACTACTAGATAGCGCTGGAAACCAAGAAAAAAACATATTAGCTGATACTTTGGAAGTACCTCCTCTTCCCTAGTGCAATGGGAAAATGCATTTCTAATATGCTACTAATATGGCATTTTTCATAATGAAGCTTTTTTTTTTCCACTTAAATGTAGCAATTAACCAACAAATTCAGTATATTTATGAAAAAATAAACAAACTATCCCCTTATTTACTCCAAGGCCCCCCAATTCTGCCAGGTCTTTAGGCTGTTAACTGTAAGGCTCCTTTTGCAAAATATGCAGTACGTTGCATTAGAGCAGGTATCTGGGATTAGGTGTTATCTTTGTTGGCAAACACCTCTATAAGAGTAAAATGAGAGACTTATTTTGGATCCTTCACCTTTGACTGCCTAAGTTACAAGCCCTGTAACTCACTCTTTTGCCCAAATTAAATACTGCCATGAGCAAGACCTCCCCCCCAGCCCCGATCAGATACTTTCCACGTCCCCAAGGACGCCCTCTTTGGCAGTCCCTTTCACTAAATGTACTTACCAGGTCATTCACTAACTTCACTGCCAACAAATTAGCAACACTGTGTGAAGTTTATCTAAATTACAAGGCATATAGAATGAAGCATGAGGCACATGGCTTCTAACACTTCAGTAAATTAAATGTAATTGGCAGAATAAGCTAGTTTTTTCAAATATATTGATTCTGTTTTGCAGGTTTGAGAGGTTCCTAGTTGTGGAGAAGAACAAAGCACACAGATTTCAGATATAGAGGAGTACTGAACAGAAGAGTAAACAGATTTTTTTAAAATACAGAAAACAGGATAGCACTTTCTCAAAAAAACAAAGATTCCCTGTTTTCCTGCACAACATGCTGCTTGTAGAAGGCCACTATCCATCAACTTGCAGAAAATTATGAGTACATCAGAAATCTAAAAATATTGTGTACCACAAAAATAGTTTTTTTCATATCTCCATCCCTTACTTGTGAAATAGTCTGTGAAGAAGCTGGCACGACCTCACGCAGGTGAGAAGGTCTTAGATAGGACTGTCATGAGTTGTCAAAAAGCGAAGCTACAGAAACCCTGTAAGAATAGCTGCCTGTGAGGACTCCTAACAACTACCCTCTCAGCATTTATCCCTCAGCAAACTAAAAATAAGTTCAAACTTATAATCTGTTTCATCATCTGTGTCTTATTCTTTCTGAAACAAGTCAAATGCAGTACCTTGCTATTTTTGAATATGACTATGTGTCAAGCTTATTTTCTGGAATTTTAATTTTGAAAGGAAAAAAAGAAAGCTTTAAAACTTTTCCAGGTGGGGCTTGTTTAAAACTAAAATATTAATCTTCTGTATAATCACAGAAGAGCTGTTTACCACACAGGAGAATCAATTCACTGCATGCTGAAATGCTGCTTCTCATACATTAAGACAAGTTCAGTTTTCTAGAGCTACAGTTACCTAAAATTTTATTAAGAGGTTTCAAAAAAGAAGTTCCACATTAAGAAACAAGAAAGCTTTTCTCTATTTTTATGACCTTTGTAATTTTCAAGATTAAGTGTTTTCATGCAAACAGACCACAGTTTCTTCCTTTTCCTTGCTTCTCACAGAAGTGCTTGCTATACGACTCCTCTCTCTTTTCTGCCACATGGGCTATTTTTTAGGTTAAAAAAAAATCCAGTTAGCTTAGTTGTGTCAAAGAGTTGGAACATAAAATCTGGAAACTCAACCCATTAAATGAAGTGTGAAAAAGAAATATTTTAGACTTGCATGAAGTACAACCTGAGCACAACCTTAAGTCAGCAGCTGTTGATGCATCTATGTAATATTCATACAATTAATAAAAAGAGCTGTAAATATAAGTTTTCTGAAGCTGACAGGAGCCTATAACGGACTGCAGAAGGAAGGATATCATACTACCATTTCTAGAACATATCACCAATTTGCCTGTATAACAGAGAGCACTCCAATTTCTCATTGCACTTAACTGACACCAAATTAACAATTGATTAATTCTAACTCTATTAATCATGGTAGTGTAGGGAGGGAAAAACATAATTCTGGATTTCAATTACAAAACGCCTAACTCACAGAAAGCTCCCCTACCCCATCCAATAACAAGCTCCCCAGCCCAGAAATTGAATAAATGTATAGCCAGGATTAACATTTTAAATTGTGTTCATATATCTCTTACAGATACACGTGCAAAGGAGGCATCTAGTGCTTGGCTGCTGCCAGGAAACGACTCCTCTCAGCAGAGCAACGCTGGCTGCAACTCACCACCCATTAATGTGCTTAAAGCCCATTTTTCAGATTACCCAATATTACACAACCAAGTGCTAAAAACTTCTTTTCACAAAGACTAAAAGTGATTAAACACCACTTTTTTCTTATAACAGTTTTAGTGGCAGTAAGGACAGAACCATAATGTTATGATTGCTGATAAGTCCAAAAATAGCACTTTTACTTCCCTCTCATCCCTTTGCAAAGCCTTGACAAAATCTGCTTGATTTACTGATAAAAGCTCCCACTGCTGTCAGCAGTGCAGAGGAGCAAACTCAATTATTCTTTGCAATCAATTAAGACACTAACCAGCTATGCATTCTGGACTATGTACAGAAAGTAAAGTGAGAAACAGTGTAACCTCTAGCCCTGCATATGGCAAAGGAAATTAGAGCATCCAATTGTACTTACACAGAGGTTGCAGTTATGTATTCACATAAAAACTGCTGAAAAATAAAGGCAGCAGATTCCTTATGATGCCATTTAACTACAATGGTTTGAGCTATACTTTAACACATGCCCATCGTGTGTATGTACCATCAAAACAGACATCATTTAGAACAGCGATGGACTTTTCTACAGCTTCCTTTTCCTAAGGAGGAGTTCTGGTATGGGATGGCTTTTAGTTTGTGTACGTGACCATGAGTCTAAATTAACACCATTAGACTTCCCTAGCCATTGTATGAAAAATATATAATTCATATGGACAAAAGTGTAAAATAAGTATATGGATACATCTGCTATCCATACATGAGTCTCATACACTACACACATATGTGCATTTATTATATACATCAGTGCACTCCAGCAATCATGTTTAACAAGTCATGTTGCAATCCAGGACAAGAGGCTTTTAGGGCTTAGTCTTTTTACTACCTAGATTCTATTGACAAAGCAGGGCTAAAGCACGGTGCCCGCTTTTGCTCCCAAGGCATCTGAGACAACATAATGCTGTAACTCTTCCAAATTTTAATTCTGATCTTCTATGCAGAACTGAACGTTTTGTCTTTAAAAGACAAGGCAACAGAAACAGTAAACAAATTCTGTCACTACATTCATAACCTTCTTATCTCTTCTCCCTACATCCCATAGGATCTTTTTCATAGAGTTTATACAGTAAAAATGTAAAAAAAAAAAATTACTGAGCCTAATTACACTGTATCTTCTCTGAACTTTTATAATTGCGGGAACAGAGGTAAGAAAGTACCCTTTCATTTATCTTCAGGACAGTAAGTCCCTACCATGACTACGTGATCCTGGTGCTGGTCACAGGAACACAGCGAATGCCCTGCACAGCACTGTCTGCACTAGTGCAGAAACACTCCTTTTCTACTAGTAATTTTCCCATCTATTTCAGAGAAGGCTGCATTCACACCATATTGAAAGCAACAGTTGCAGTTGGCATCAAGGGAAAGCGACAACTATAACAACTTTGTGACTCTTAATTAGCTTTATTTTGGAGGGGCTGAGGTTTCATTGACCACTGAATCTCAGCATAAAGCACCACATTTTGTTTGAGGTTTCAAGGAGCCTTGAGTTTCTTTTTACTTTTTTTCCCCCTAAGAAATAAAAATAATTTACAATATCAAACTGCTTTATGAATCTATATTTCTTGTTTAAATGCTAAGCACAACATTGCCAACAAAAATCTATATTTTATGCATTTACATCAAATACTGAGACTTCTGAAACCTAAATGGAGGATTATTCTAAAATGTGACAGTTTTGAGAGGAACGAAGGTTTTATTAGGGTTCCTACTGTTCACAATCAAAGCACTCAGCTGCAGATCATACAGGACAGGTTCATATGCTATGCATTTCTATAGATGACCTTTTATGTAAGTGTTCATGGTTAACATTTTCAAATATCTTTTTTATGTTATTACAGATTCAAGACAACACTTAAATCAACTCCGGTTCCCTGTCGGATAAAATGCAAGTTTTTATTTGGTGGAAAACAAGAAGGTACCATATTTGTCACCAAAAAAAGGCAGTGAGATTATAGATGCTATGTAATATGGACATAAACAGATACTTTTTAGTATTTCCATGTGGCTGATATTTCAGTGATCATTATGGATCCACGGAACACGCAGCCCTCTCTGCTCCCTGCGGCCCCGCGGCAGGGATGGTGCAGGGAGCCAGCGGGCCCTGCAGCAGGCGAGGCCGGCACAGGCCACTAAACAGCCCAGTAGCCTCCAGTCTGTGGTTTCAAGTGGCCACTTGGCTTCCTATTTATTTTTACATCCCAGTGTCTTCCCACTGGAACATTTACAAAGTTATTTCCCCATTTGGGACACCTGTCATATTTCATAAGATAGCAGTAAATTGTTTACAAGTAGCTTTTGTGATAAAAATTGCAAGCATTTAAGCTTGCATTGACTTTTAGCTATGCAACCCACCCTGGCTGAAAAGGACAGATTGCTTGCAGGAAAAAAAAAAAAAAAAAAAAAAAAAAAGAGGGGTATTTAATTTGCCTTAGCTTCACCTGGCCAAGGAAGTTAGGAGCAGTTCTGAAGCAAAATAACAAAACTATTTTGATTTTTTTTTTTTTTGCATAGAAAACCTGCAAGTCTCTGTTCTAGCAAAGCTGAAGGGTTTTGAAATTTTCATCATAGAATTTGATGAATTTCATCATACCTTTGCTTCTCCCTTCTATTCAAGGGCTACATGACTTGAAAACAACTTGAAAATAAGAAATGGGGTCCAGTGAAGAAATAAAAGGCATCCTGACTGGCAGTGTTAGGGTGGAGAACTATTCTTGTCAATAAAAAAAAGGAAAAATAATCAGCATGTTCAGTATTTTCTGCTACTCTCCTCTGTTGTTGCCAAGCCACTGACATCACTAATGCTGTCTCTGAAGGGACATTCAGTGAAAGTTGTATCCCATCCCAGAGAAATCTTCACCAGGCCCAGCAATTCTGGGGGTTGCACTCAGCCCTGCTAAGCTCCCCGATGCTCTGCATTCCTGGGCTTAGCGCTCTACCCCATCACTCGTGAATGATCCTTCCAGTTCCAGTGTCAGACACACTGACACAAGGGAAACAAGTCATCTAGTGTGGGATACTGAAAAACACACGCGGTAGTTCCCTTTTTGATTGAGTGCATTTATCCAACATTACTTTAGTTTACATCTCTGATTGGACATGCCTGTGTGTGTGCACTAAGTACAGAAGTGACACTTTAGAATGAACACATTTCCAAGTTTATGAACTGGCATGGACTACTGGCCTATAAAGAAATCAAAGACTGTGGCCTGAACTCCTCAAAAAGCACTGAAGTTCAATACCAACAGATGCTGGTTCAACCCTGGTGAATGATAAAAATTAACTATAAAAGTAGATAATCTTTTAGAATCCAGTAACCTGGTTTTATATTGAAAATAATAAATGCTTTATACATGAATATACACACAGATCATAGTTCCACCTTGCCTGAACTTTAGAAGTCAGGATTTCATCAGGGAAGAATATGCTAAATCAGTTTAGCCCAAAGCAGCATTTTGATTGCCTAATTTAACTTTGTAAAGGAGAAGCAAATCTTATAAGTTGGTCTGTAAGCCTCACAGCTGGAAGGTTCTAACACTACTTTGCAGTTTCCAGTGATGAAAGTAAGTTACTTTTTATCTAAAACTAAGAATTTCATAATGGAAATAATGCAGCACCAGGGGGTGCAGTTATCATGAAATAATTACACTCCTGGGAGATTACAGACAAGGCTGTACCCCAGGGGTGTGATTATCCCATGATAACCACATCCACGGAAAGTGCCTTATTGCAAAAATAATCTCTATTCACTGGTGAGATATTATTCAATAGGCAGTCTAATGGTAAGATTATTATTTTTTTTTTTTTTAGCATGAATTACCAAATAGATTAGTGAAACAGTCCCAGAAGCAGAATAACCAAGCCACCGAGCCTCACTCGCAGGTACTGCCTGCAACTGCTTTGCTGTTTGCTGCAGTCACGTATCTCCCACCTCCCAAGGCAGCTGTCCCTTCCCCCAGAGCTCAGCTCCGGCCACAGGCACACAGTGCTTTAGCCCTGCACTTCCACCAGGGCAATCTCAAGTCAGTGACTGCTCCTGGAGCCCCAGATGAATCCAAACCAGCAACGTCAATCACTTGATGTGCAAAAAAGAAAACTGCAACACAGTTCTCACATAAGATAAGATATTCCAAGAAAAACATGTTTCTGCTGAACTAAAAGAATCACAGCCTATAAGGCTTTTCTTTACAAAAATTACATGTTCATGGTTATTTTACAATGCTTGAAAAAAGCATACACTGATGACTAATAACTGCTCTTTTTCCTCACAGATAAACAGAACAAAGGCTTCAGATAATTCAACTATATCAGACACAGAAGTTTCATTTTCATTCATTTTTAACTCAAACATTTCCTTTGAGGCTGAAGAATCATCTGAGCCCAGATAAGACATACTGTTTTGCTCTCCTCCTGAGGGAAGAGAAAACTAAAACAAAACACATGCTGAACTTGCATCAAATGCTCTCAAACATTTTCACCGTGTGTTGAAATCTAACTGCCAAAGGAAACTATAATGGCAATTAAAATGCAATTGCACTCTTTTCAAATATCTGAGAATTATGCAAATAGGATTTTTTAAAAAGTACTTTCTAAGAGTCTGCTCTGGAAAAACTTGTGTGAACACCAAGAGATGCTGAAACAAGGAAAATTCTGCCTTGGAGCAGACCATAATGCAGCACAAATTCCTTGTTCTGCTCACCTACACCTTCCTTCCCTTTAACATGAGCTACTGGGTTTGACAGAACAGTTTCTGCACTATTTAAACTTTTTTTTTTTTTTTTTTAATCCAAACAGGAGTCTAAATTTTACTGAAACTCAGCAGCTTGAGCACTTAAAAATACGAAAAGATTTTTTAAAATATCCCTTTGTGGGATTTGTTGGCAATAAAACGTCCAACACTGTTTTCTTTACAGGTTAACTTTCTTCAGTAACATTTCTGAAAGCAGTGACCCTTCTACACAGGAGACCTTTAAAGACTTCAATGTTATTACGCTACTGATTCCAGGCACGCGTCTAACTGAGGTGTAAGATACTTCTGTGGTCCTCGATGCTCTCTGCACATGAGATGTTTCAGCCCTTCTTTAGGGCAGAATACATGCACCTGCTACCATTCCTGTTCTATTCTGCAGACAGAAGCACATTTGGGTAAATGCATAAAGAAGAGCAGAACAGCGAGGTGCAGAAGCACAGGACCAGTGAGAAGTCACCCACTGGATAACACAGGAGAAGCCAGGGCCATTTCTAAAAAGCCTCTCACACAGCAATTACTGTGCTATCAAGTCAATCACTTCCAAGCAGCACTGAGCTCTTATTTAAAACAAACAAACCCTTTAGATTCTCCAACTCCCTTAAAAAAAAATAATTTCTAGAGATACACAGGCTGATTTGGTTATGCTAATACATTTAGTTTCTAAAACTAACTGGAGTCCTAGTTAACTGATTATCACTCTAAAATTCTTTCCTTTTAATTCTTTATTATACCTTTGTATCTCTCAGATAACTGTATCCACTCATTTATGAGATGATGCTTACCTGTCACTTGCCTGACACAGACTAGGACAAGCTTTCAAGGAGAGGGTTCCTAGATACCCTGGATTCGCACATAGCCACGGTGCTTCCTCTGTGCATATGGAATTCTCCTATATTTCACGTAAGTGTAATTTAAATGAAGATTTAGAAAAGCCGATAAAAGGATTGCATGTCTTAGGTTGTCTGCTTTTTCTAACCTTTTATAAGTTGATCTAATTAAAGATATTACCATTTCCCTCTAAGCCTTCTATCTTCTATTAATTTAAGAACTTACAATTGTTCTCAACTTTATGTGCAGGGCTTTGCATGTCGTTTCCCTGAAAGGATGAAAGGGCAAGTAAGAGTATCATTACAGCTGACTAGTCAAATCCATGAACAGTGTCTTACAAATTATATATACAAACCTTGATCTGTCGCCCACCCTGCTCCTGAAATCCCGCCTCTCAGCCTGCCAGGAGGGCTGTGCTCTGCACAACACGCGCTCTGCAAAGCTCTGGAGGGGAAAGTGCGGCAGCACTTGCACGGTCTGGGGGCAGAGGTGGTTTTACAGCACCTTCCTTCGTGCAAACTGCAACGTATGTCTAAATCCCTCGCTCTAGACCCAGAATGACTGGAAAGCAACCCAGAGACCCTCTTTTTGACTAGCACACTACAGGATCAGGCACTCCACCCTTTAGTATTCTGAGGCTTTATCTCAAAGAAATAACATATACCTAAGTGGTCTAATTCCAAAGGATAAGACAAGATGTTATATGTAATAAAACTACGAGCTATCATGTAAAATGCATAAATGGAGGCAAGACAGCAAAAGTAAGTTCTTGCAAGACTGAACACACAGCAATGCACATGATCGTAAGCGCAACACAGAAACCCTGAAGACTCACTCAAGTCACCTGCTGCTGTTTTAAAGTATCAGAATTTTAAGAATATTAAAAATGCCATGATCTTGGGTTGATTTGTAAGAGAATTGTTACTACAAGCAAAGAATTTTTGATTTGAATGAATACCTCCACTCCTTTAAACATTACTGATACTAGACACCATATGGCTTAACTAACAGGAAAATAATAGAGGTAAAAATTGTAGCTCATGAAGCACAAAATGCTAAATGCAAGGAAACCAGACATTTGAAAAGGTAAGCTTCAATTTCTTGCCCATCTATAAAAGCATTTCATATGACTAATCAGTAAATAAAACAAAGGCTCTTTTTTTCCTCAAATGGTTTACAAAGATGTACTTGATCTATTCTGTTTCCATGCTGTATGCCAGAATTTGAACTAGGACAGTGTTTGACGGTCTATTCATTAATTATTTTTGTAACACAAATACTCTTGTTCTGCTACAAAAGAGTCTCATGGCAGCTTCGGGATTTCTGCCACACAAAGATCAAAGCAACACTCACGGCAATCTACTTTTATATCATGTTACTAACTGGAAAACTAGATCCCTAACACCTGAAAATAATTAACCTGAAATGGTAGTTACTACATTTAGAATAAAGAAGCCTTCTCCCCATTTCATCAACTATTGGAAATATGTTAAATTTACATCTCCCAAAATTTAAACCGACAAGTTCCTTCAGAATTTATAACCAAATTCTTTGAGAGAAATTCAGTGCCTACCTGAACCATCAGTAGAGACTGAACTTGCATTAATTCCAGAAAGGCCAAACAAAGGACATTCTCGATCGGTGTTTACATGACCCCATTTATGGCACTTAATACATCTCACATTCCGCACCTGAAAGGAGAAAAAAGAAACAATTGGTAGAATTTAGTTAACAATACAACTTAACATTTAGAGAAATGTCTGTGTTATTATGCAAACAAAAAAAAAGAAAAAGACTTTTAAACTCACTGAAAGACAGACGATAAAATTAAGAGAGTCCATGTGAATGTTCTGCAGTTAGATAATATTTGAAATAACCCAAGACATCCACAGAGTGGAATTTATGTAACTTGCCTGGATACCAAATGGCTGATCTCTGATATTCACATCATCCTTAGCATACCTGTTACACAAACCCAAAAAGAAAACACAAATATATCTTCAATCAAAAACCATACAAAACTACTATAAGTCCTGTTACTATTAAACGAGCATCCATTTCACAAACACATTTCTGGTAAGCATTAGCTTTAATATATTTTAAAAAATGAATATAAAATCCTAACAAAAACTAAACACTGAGGAAAGAGTTACAAATTTACAGATTTCACTCAGTATAAAGACAGGAAAGTATTATAAAAATGACTTATTTGAATTAAAAAAAAAGAAAAAAGGTTGTGAAGATTAAGAAAGAAAAATCTATTTTACTTGGATACAATCCACATATCTTACTTTTCTCGAGGGGCAACTTTTTGCCATTCAAATTTGTACTCAGTCTCTCCTTCTTGCTGTAAAATATAAAACATTGGAAGGTTGAAATTTATTACAAATTTTAAGTAATCAGAAAGAAAACTTAAAGAAATTATTTAATGACTTACCTCTTTATCTTCTTCTGTTACCATAAAAAAAAAAAAAAAAACATTAATTATACATGTAACATTCAGCTGGTATCTAATCTACAGTCAAAATAAATTAAGGTTTGCTATAAATGATTAAACTCCAGTATCTTCATTACAAACCCTGTAACACTAGAATCATCTTTTAACTGTATTGCTTAAATATACAAGCACTAAAAAGCTTTAAAGCTTGCAAGGGAAACAATGTACAACAGGACAGCAGGAATATCCAAGAACTGGCTGTTTGGCAAAGAGGGCTTTTTTTAGCTTCAGGTTCTCTACCTTAATGACTTTCACAGTCACTTTATTTTGCACAAAATAGCAGTATTAGAGGAAGCATTTCATTTTAGTAACTTCTCATTAGTTTTATAAACACATCTACTTTAAATTTAGTGTACCAAGTCTAGCAGATAAGCCTGATCTCAAGATAAATAAGTACATGCCTTGAATACAGTTAGAATGTGCTTCTCTGCCTGATTTATAAAACAGAAACTGTAATTCATGAAAGCTTTTTCAAGACTTCTAGCATACTTTCTAGCAGCTGTGAGCTTACTATAAAGCAAGTTACATTAAAATTAAACTTAATTCTTATGTTAAAAGGATCTCATAAAGCAACCAAAAACTTGTTAATAAAAATTAATGTGTCACTCACTGCATCACCCCCATGGGCCCTTCTTTTTTTTTTTTTTTTTAAATCTCTGTAGCTTCATATTTTTAAAATTTCACATGCCAGGGCAAGAGGCTATGAAGGAAATGCGTCTGTATCCAACATTCAAGAGATAAAAATTAGAGGTTGGCAGGGCAGGGCATCCCTCGACCTTACAGCTAGTGAAAGGAGAAAGGAGCCTGAGGCTCCTTCAGCTTCGCGATGCTCGAGCCCAGCACAGTACCTTTCTTTGCTCCAGGAGGAGCCTCGTACATGAAATTCAGACCATTCTTCACACGCTCATCACCCATAAGCAATCTAAATGAAAGACAGTTACACACATTAGTACACACATTCACATTAGCAGTACTTTTTAAAAAATAGACTGGAAAGGAGCACATGGACATTGTCACCATAACTGGGAATTCCTCACTAGTTAATTTCAACACCTGGAGTCCGGGATGGAAGAACTGAGGGCCCAGTCACCACTTCTCATGCTGCACTGCATACCAGTATCATGCACCTCAGCTGCAACGGAAACATAACCCTGTGTCCACAGAGTATGGAAGACAGATTTCTGCATGATCAAACATTGCTACACAAGTTCATCTGCTGCTCTGCTAAGTGTAACATACGGTGAAATGAATTAGATGAGTCACACAAACTATCTGAAAAACTGAAGACATGGTCAGAAGTGTGACCTTTGCCAAAGGAGATCCCAGGTAATGGGTCCCTGTCCTCTCCTGTCACTAAGAGGGGTAGGGGGCAGTGCTTCAGATAACGCACAGGGAGATGTCCTTGGCTGCCATGGGGAGATGGTAGGAGGCGTGTGATGGTTGCCTGTTCTCACCTGTTATCATAGGATTCCTGTTCTTTAAGGTACTGTTGCATTAATTCTTCTTGTTTCTTCTTGTCATATGATATTTTCTGTTCTGCCATCCATACCTAATTAAAACAAGAAGTTTCTACTTTAGATAAGGAACAACTTAAAGCACTCTTGTACGGGAAAGGCTGTGTGTGATGGACACATGGTGCCAGATACAGATATTGCTGAGAGATGTGCGGTTCCTCTCCAGATAATTCGATGCTCAGAAGAGCCAACCTGATGCTTGGAGTCAGGAAAAGGAGTCAGTTATATGAAGGTGTGAGGAAGCAATCTTAGAGTTTTTAAACGGTGATTCTTTATTTATACGGCTATTCTTTCCTGACTCTTCCTCCCCCTCAGTTAATATGAGTTTCTCCAAATCAAAACTAATATTCTGAGAAGACGCTACGGAATACACCTTTCCCGCGACCCTCGGTTTATATGGAGAGATGGGTATCACCTCTCGGTGGGTGTCCTGGTGCTGGCTGGGCAGGTGACGGGCACAGCTGCAGCAGGGCTGCGCGTGCCGGGAGCGCGGGCAGCAGCGCCCCGGCCTCGGCGGCGGGTCCCCCCGGCAGCGCCCCGGCCTCGGGTCCCCCGGCAGCGCCCCGGCCTCGGGTCCCCCTGGCAGCGCCCCGGCCTCGGGTCCCCCGGCAGCGCCCCTGGGGCGGGGACCCCCTGGCAGCGCCCCGGCCTCGGGTCCCCCGGCAGCGCCCCTGCCTCGGCGGCGGGTCCCCCTGGCAGCGCCCCGGCCTCGGGTCCCCCGGCAGTGCCCCTGCGGCGGGGACCCCCTGGCAGCGCCCCGGGCCGGGGGCCGCGAGCAGCCGCCGCCGCACACGGGCCCGCCCGGCCCTACCCCGCCCCTCTCCGGCCCGCTCACGCCTCGCTGCAGCCCAGCTACCCGCGGGCAAAACAAGCAGCGCCACCACAACAGCAACGGACACCGCCACAACGGCCACCGCCACAACCGCCACCGCCGCGTTTTCCCGAGCTCCGCCGCCGCACCGGCGCGGGCCCGGGTCGCCGCCACCGCTCACCTTCTTGATGTTGGACTTGGAGGCGGGGTGGAAGTCCTTCTTGCACATGAAGTTGGCGAACGACTTGCCCATGGCGGCGGTGCTGGTGCGGCCGCTGCCTCGGAACCTGCCGTTCCACCGCCCGCCCGCGCTGGGCCTTCCGGGGCGGCGGGCGGGCCTTCCTGCGGGGCGCCGCCGCCGCGGCCCCGCCTGCCGCCGCCGCCATGGCCATGGCCGCGCCGCCGCCGCCCCGCTCTTGCGACACCTTCGTGGCGCTGCCGCCCGCCGCGGCGCGGGGCCGCGTGGTCTTCGGCAAGAACTCGGACCGGCCGGCGGACGAGGTGCAGGAGGTGCTGTACGTCCCCGCCGCCCGCCACCCGCCCGGCGCCGCGCTGCAGGTCAGCACCGGGGGCGCGCGGGACATGGCGGCACCCGCACGGGGGCGCGCCGGGACATGGCGGCACCCGGCCGCACGGGGGCGCGCCGGGACATGGCGGCACCCGCACGGGGGCGCGCCGGGACATGGCGGCACCCGCACGGGGGCGCGCCGGGACATGGCGGCACCCGCACGCGAGCGCGCCGGGAAATGGCGGCCCGCCCGGGTGACGGGCCCCCTGGGCCTCGCTCTCTTGCCCGCAGTGCACCTACGTGGAGGTGGAGCAGGTGGGCGAGACCCACGCCGTGGTGCTGAGCCGGCCCGCGTGGCTGTGGGGCGCCGAGATGGGCGCCAACGAGCACGGCGTGTGCATCGGCAACGAGGCCGTGTGGGGCCGCGAGGAGGTGGCCGCCGCCGAGGCGCTGCTCGGCATGGACCTGGTGAGGTGCGCGGGGCGCGCGGGCCGGGCTGCGCAGCGGGCGGCAGCAGCGACGCATCCACGCTTTCCCGTACGGAGCTTCCGCTGCGCCGCGCTCGGCTCCCCCTTCACCGTCCCTTTCAACTCCGGCCCTCGCCCTGCGCCCCACTGACTTGTCCAGCTGCTCTTGCCCGTCCCGTTGGCACCAAGACACCCCTTGCCCCGCAGTTCGCAGCCCGTCGCGTCTTCCTATTCCGTGTGGTTGTGTTCAAGGTGTTTAATTCCAAAGGTAACGTCTTCCTCCTGTTCCAGGCTTGGACTCGAGAGAGCGGACACAGCTGAAAAGGCCGTTACTGTCATAGTCGATTTGCTAGAGAAATACGGACAGGGAGGAAACTGTATGGAGAGCCATATGGCTTTCACATACCATAACAGCTTTCTGATAGCCGACAGGAAGGAGGCCTGGGTACTGGAGACATCGGGAAAGTACTGGGCAGCAGAAAAAGTGGAAGGTATGGATCTCTTTGTTAGCCTTTTAAATATTTCCAGCGCACTGGAAATATGTGGAATTGCAATTAGCAGGTCTCTCCATTACCGTTTAACTAAAGCATCCAAGGAGCCTCCACGTACAAGAAGAGCAGAAGTTGCTCGCTGGGCCCGCAGTGCGGACAGGGCAGCAGCCTCGCAGAGGCGCTCAGCACCCCCGGGCACTGCCTGAGACCAGAGGAGCCACTCCTGCCCTCAGAAGGGAGGACAGCAACACGGCCAGCATGAGAACAGCAGCAGTGCTGCTTTTGAGCATGGTGGCAATCAAAGACGCCTGGTTGGGGAATACGGAATATTGCTGGGATCGGTGCGGTTTGTCCTAAAGATCAATTCACCCACCAGACTCGTAAGGAAGAGCTAAGTTTTGGGAACAGTGTAAGGAGGAGCATGTAGAGATGGGGAACGATCAGGATGGAACCCAAAAGAGGATGGCAGCAATGAAGGTAAATGACATGGAGCTGAGGCAGTGGGGAAGTTTGATCTGAGGATAAAAGCAGCCAGAGAGAAAAGGTGAGCGCCAAAAACAAACCACAAGATCACACAGATCTTGTAGGAAATTCCTAAATGCATCCTCTGCTTCGGTAAGCTAGTAAATTAAATGTAAAGAAAGGGCCAACCAAAAGCTTTTGATATACTGAAAGGTTTTTTTTTTTCACCTTAAAAGCAGGTGGTGTACGGAATATTTCCAATCAGCTCTCCATCACAACCAAGATTGACAGAGAACATCCAGAACTGAGGGAATATGCAAAGAACAAAGGCTGGTGGGATGGGGAAAAGGAATTTGATTTTGCTGCCACGTATTCTTATGTAAATACTGCCAGAATGACTACGTCCAGAGGCCGATACTGTGAAGGCTATAAACTTCTGAACAAACACAAAGGTATCATTCATGTGTTGTTTGTTTTTGCAGGAAATAGTGTTTAATAAGTTGCATTAATTTCAATCATAAACAAACATCTGCTGTGAGGTCATCACTCATGATTTGGTGAAAAACAACCTTTTTTTTTTTTTAGTGAACTGCTAAACTTTGGAGTCCTTTGCCAATTTTGGCCAGTTTGAGGCTAGAGAAAATAAAACATAGGTCAAATATCTAACACATAACAGCTACAGTAACGACACATAAAGGTCATACTATGGCCACCCTGTTAAATACCCCATAAGATCTAGTTCTGGACCACAGGCTAAACGTTATTACTGTATTTCTAAGAAAAAACTCTGGCTAAACCAAACTCTCAATCGCTTGGCTACTGACAGAACCTTATTTACTACTTATTCTATCCCTACTTGTTTACAAGCCTAAAACAATGACACAGCGTTCATATACGTATTTTGTGATTATTTTTGGGCTTCTGTAAGAGATTGTTTTTAAATCTTTGTGGTTTCATTATAACTGTTACTCTAACCTTGTGTGGAATAAAAGGATTTTCAGTACTCTAAGCAGACACCTTGGTTTGCTAATTACTAACTTATCCACATAACCTTCCTTCCAGACTTCAATAGAGGAAAGCTATTACTTCTCTTCTAACTGCTTCCACCTGGCAGCTTTTTGCAGCAACTCAAAATTGCATCTATATTCACTTGTTCATTTGAAATAATTAATCTGAACCAAAATAAAATTGCACCCCGGTGTGTTTATTTTGCTGAGCTCTATCACAGCAGTTTTAGCATGAATTACCTTTTGCTATCCTGCTCTGGAGATCATGTAAATCCTGCATTCATTTTGGGAATTGAAGGTTCTGAATACTGAAAGCATTTTCATAATACCTGTATTTACCTGCCTTATAACAATACTAAGGTTCTATCAGTGTTTTCATTCTAAATCCCTGTTTTCAGACATTTATCATGGCCATTATAAAATCACACTAGATATGCATGTGATCAGCCTCATATAACTTGGATTTATCCTAAATAGGTGCCCTAAGTAAAAGTTATTTGGTTTAGAGCAAAGGTAAAATCCCTGGTTTATTATTTTCTCCTTCCCAGCTTTTTTATTCATTCAGTGGCATTACATTTTTTCTAGACTATCTTTACCTTGTGAAGATCATTTTTAGATAAACATCTACATTCAAAAATAAGCACCTGCTTGTGAGAATACAAAACAGTAAAATAGTCTAGGTCAAAAATATGCAATACCTTCTTTTCTGCTAGACCAACTTGCAGCCAAAGAACAAACTGCTGCTGATTTTAAGATCTTTGATTCAGGTAGTTTGCAGATTTGTTGAATTCTGTGGCTTTTAAGTTATAAATTTAAAGTTATAAAGCTTATTAGCGCCTGTTCTTTAAAATAAATACTTTAGGGAAAATAATAATCATATGCTTAAATGTGTTACATTTTAAGGTATGCTGATAGAGTGTTTTTTATTTATTTACTGTGTACACAAACTAAACTTTTTATTGCCTATTAAGACAAAAAAGCAGCCAGTTTTAGACAACTTTCTGTTTAGTTGACAGTATAAACATTGCTATTTGTAAATAGCTCCTTTGTGTCCTAAACAGGCTCTATTAGTTCGGAAATAATGATGGAAATTCTTCGTGACAAAGAGAGTGGCATTAATATGGAGGGTGGATTCATGACAACTGGAAGCATGGTGTCCGTGCTGCCCCAGGAGCCCGGTCTCCCTTGTATTCACTACTTCACAGGAACTCCAGACCCTGAGAGGTGACGTAGAACAACTCGTTGGCACATAAAATTATGAATGTCTAAATGAAAAATATAGTGTAATTTCATCCAGTTATGTTTCTTTCATTATTTTTGCTGGAAAAATAAGTCAAAAGGAGAACAAAATGGATAGAGGTTCGAGGGGCTCATTGTGAACATTGCTCATGTAACCTAGTTGGTGAAATGAATTAAAAAGGGGTTAGGAGATTTTTTTTTGGAACATTTCTTCCATGAGAAGAAAAAGAAATACACTGAGGGGGAAAATTCAGCAATTTACTGACTCGACAATTCTAATAAAACCGTATTGGTAAAGGCTACCTGTTCTATTTTCTATTTCTAGGTCTGTATTTAAGCCTTTCATTTTTGTGCCCAATATAACCCCATTGTTAAAGACCAGCTCCCCTACATTTGGCCTTGATGATCCGGTTAAGCAGCAACCACGTTTTCAGACTAAGCCAGATCGAAGACACGAGCTCTACAAAAAACATGAAAGTGCTGCTGTCGTTATGGAAGGTGGCAAGGTATGTTGATGAAATTAGATTTCAGTGCAAGTGGTTTATTTAAGCTCCTTGCTCACATTTTGTTACTGTGATACCATTTAATACCCTTAAAAGGATGGTGCAGACTATTGTAATGCATCAAAGGCCAGTCATCTGGCAGATATTTTGTTGCACAAGTGCTGAGAAATTGTCATTAATGCTCTGCTGTAGCCCCAGGCTGAGCCTTGAGGCAAAAGCCTGAGGTGCTGCTTGCAGCAGGCCTGCTTGCAGGAAAGCAGGACACGTGCCCTGGCACTAGTCACACAGCAGCAGGCAGGTGGGCAGCTCCTGACAGCAGCACTTAACCCCTGCTCGCTGCTCTAAACCCTTCCGGCTGTGCTCGGTACCAACGGACCTGCCAGGCACTTCACGTAACGGCAGGCCAGCTTAAGAAAAAACAGTGGTTTTGCCTTTTACTTAGATTTCCTTGACTGCCCCAGGCTAAATACTACTGATTAATGACTTATTTTATAACCAAGTTGTAACTAACCTTAACAAGGATATTGGATAGCATGGGATGTCACTTCTGACGTCAGTGAAATTTAAAAGGCTAATCACTGAAAATTGCAAAGCGACGCAGACCTGTTTTTCTGTTAGAAATAGCTTTCCTTGGTGCAGTTAGCTGCCTTGTCCCCATCATCCACGCAACCTTCAACTCCTGTCATAAAGGCAGTTCCTTTTACCTTCCAGCAATATATCATGCAGGCCTTTTTTCCCCCCTCCTTTTGCTCCCCACTCTTTTTTACTCCTCTTTCCCTTCTTCTCCAGTGCTGACATTTGCTCTCCCATTCACAAAATCACCATCTCACTGACAGTCATGGTGTTTCTGTCACTAGTACATCCTCTCAAGATTAGTGGTATCACCAAAAATACTAAGCACTAATATCAGCTGTCATTTTGAAACATACTTGCAGTGCAAAAGTAATGTGTATTAAAGTAACACAGTAGATACAGAGAATGTAATTCTGCTGATTGACACTTCCATGTTGCCAACTATGAAACAGAAACATTTAAACATTATTCTGAAGTAACCAAAACAATGTGTCAGTAACAGTTTCCAACAGAGAAACTTCCACATGTAGAAAGACACTAGAAATGAAACTTAGAAGCAAATATCAGTGCACAGTCAGGGAGATTGTTCCTTAAACTGTTGTCTCTCTCCTACTTCTAAGCTCTAATCAAAGACTGAAAAAGTTCTTGAGCTGAAAAGATAGCCAGACTTCAAAGTTTTGTTAGGGTGAACACTACATAGCCCTGCAGAGCTTTTGGTGAGATACGGACTCTTCTTTTTCCAGGCAAAAGGTAAAAAGATGCTGGAAGAGATGCGGCAGCTGGAGAAACAGAAAATCAGTGAAATGGAATCAATCCTGCAAAACAGCTGTCTCGACACTAGCCAAGCTGCTAACCTTTTCCCACAGTGTGTGGAAGAAGAACTCAAACTATATATATAAAGCTATTATGTGAATGCAGCATAGTTCTGCTTTGCAATTAGCTCTTCTAATTAAGGGTACCTATAGATTATATGTTATTTTTCATCTACCAGTTACCATGGAACATGGGTGTCAGAGATGTGCACTCATGTTGGGGGCAAACGGTGGGAAGCAGTGCTCACAGGGCTCTGCAGAGGAGCCAAGCTACCTGACTGACGCACTTGGACAACATGTGGCCCACTAGAATCCCTTCCTTGGGTGAAAAACACCAGCCCTGACCTGGGCAGCTCCCTTCCAGCTGTTATGTGCTTGCGTAGCTTTTATGATGATGATGGTTGTAAGGACAGAAGAATTTCATATTCTAGGAATTAAAATGGTAACGCTGGATGACTTCCTAAAGTATGGAACTTGCACCAAATAAAGGGAAAGCGATACGTAATCACAGTTACAAATCAGTGACTATTGTAAAATAACTTGTTATGAAATCTGATGACATAAAATTCAGCAACTGAAGCGTCCTGCATATTACCACAGTTTACTTCCCACTTTCCCATCTCCTTACCTTGCTCTCCCTTAATCTGAAATATATTTATTTACAGGCAATATGACTATTGTTAAATTAATTCTACATTATTATTAATAAAATTAACACATCATTATTGTAATTCTACAATCCCACTGGATTGTTTTGAAATATCTCTTGAATGATTACATTTTTAAAACTGAGGAGCAAGAAAGAAGAGGTCAGCATACCCAGGGATATACAGTATTCATATATTCAGCGTAAAATGCAAAAGGACTTATAAACTTTACACTTAATATTCACGCTTTTAACTAGAGCTTATCTTGCCAAGAATGCTAGTCAAGGAGTTGATTAAACACAGCTTTTTTTCTAGCCAGGATTTCTTCCTTCCTGATTGTGCACAGAAGTACTGGTCTGTCACACTGCTTCCCTAGCTAGACAGCCAAAGATGCATTTCTTCATAGGCATGTGATGTTAAGAGAATTAAGTGTGCAGTTACGTCTTTGTCTTGGACAAGTGCTTGGACACTGCACTGAGCTGATGCTGTCTTTCTTCTCTCTCCCTTTTTTTTTTTTTTTTTTTTTTATTTTCCTTTAATGACACTTGATGACCTCTGAGGTCCCTTCCAACCTTGGGCATTCTACGATTCTATGACACTCGTGTTTGCTCAGAAGAAGAGTTGGTCTTCAGCCAACTTAGCTGTTAGCAGTTTTATTCAGTAGCTTGTCCTTTTGCATTTTTGTGTTCTTACATAGATAAAATGTGATGAAATAGAGTCTGGCTCTAGAATATTTTAGATTCTGAAGATGTGGATACAGAAATCCAGTGTTCTCATTTTCTAAGTTGTTCTATAGTCCCACAGGGGAGAGGAAAAAAGGCAAAAGAAATACATGCACAATTAGCTCTGCAGAAGGCTGCTAAGTGAATGAGAAAATAAGCTTGCCAGAATTTGTTCTTTCTGATCCTACAGGGAATTAGAGGTTAAATTAGGATACCATGTTCAGATCCATAACAAAAACATAATGAATTGGTAAAAGATCTTCAAACTATTTTTATAGTTCCAACTGATGTACTTTTTACTAAGCTGTGTATCAAATGGCTGTAGCAAGTTCGATCATCTACAAAAGTAGAATCAAGTCTCACTGTGAACCTTTTCTGTCTCACTGACAACAAAGTTTCCTAGAAGTTCAACAGGACGCTGTGTGCTCGCCAACTGGAAGATATATTTAATAAAATGTGGTATTTACCTGCTTTCCTCATGGATGTTTGTGTCTGGCAATCATTTGTGTCCTTGGCCTATTTTGGATCATCCGCTGTCTCGCTCTTCAGTAAGTTCAAAGACTGAAATAAATGCTAGGCAAAGCTCTGGAGTCAAGTGTACAGGTAGTTGAGCAAAATTAGACTGCACACCTATAGAGCAATGAGAGCACTGAAGGTGGCACAGCAAGCCCTTAATCACAGCACTGCTGCTTAATTGCAGCCCAGTAATTAACCAGTGTGTTAATAGTGCACATTCAGTGCAACATACAAAATGGCAATGAAACCAGCATTAAAAAAAAAAAAAAAAAAAAAAAAAAAAAAAAAAAAAAAAAAAAAAAAAAAAAAAAAAAAAAAAAAAGACACCTTGTTCTGACAAGCAGACATTAAATATCATAATGTCCTCCAGAGGGCAATCTTTGTCCTTTTTTAGTTTAGAAAAGTATATCTCAGTTTATTTAAAAAGAACTATATCACTACTCAAAAATGTGCTAAAAATATTAAGTAGAAAATTAAAATTTTCATATCTACTCCTATCTATTATAAGAATTATATAGAGATTACTGCTAGGAAAAAAAACAATTCACATTTTTCATTGTGGAAACCCCTGTACTTACATGCTCAGTGGATGCTTTCACTGACTTGTAACATGTGAATTAAATGAGATTCAACCCAAGCCAACCAATTTTCAAACTGAAAAAAAATCATCACTGAACTCATCTTTAAAACACAGCTATTTCTGATCACTAAAAATTCACACATAAAATTTACATTCATAAGATCAACTACTTGTAACACTTCCAACACTTTCTGATGCTGTTAGAAGCAAATACTTATCGGCTGTTATAAGGGTTAAATAACTTCCTAATATCAAAGTCTACTTTAAGCTTCCAGCAGGACCTAACAATTTAGATATTGGATTAAGTTACTCTGCATTGATTCATAGATTCCTTAGTCAACAATATCAATGGTGTGATTACCAGCAGTCACAACATTACGCAGAATTTAATGTCACTTAAACGTGTTCACTTCATTAGATTTGTAACAAGGAGCTTCCACAAACACACATTTTGACTGATTTCTTACTTACAAATAGGTACACATTGTTGAAATGTAATCAAAGCAAGGATAGCAAGGGTAGGATTCTGGTGAAAAGGAGAGAAAAGAGAGAGCAAGAACAGTGACTACATGTAGGGCTGGGCAACTGAATTGAGAGCAAATTCTTTAATCCTCAAAGAATTTTCCAAATTCATAAATATATATATATTTGATAAATAGACAATGTGAAATTTTCTTGGAGATCTGAATTAGCTTCTCACTGGTTTCAGTAGCAGACAGTCTGCTAGAAGAGAACTGTTATCTTTAATGTGAACACTCGTGAACACTTGTTAATAGCCCCTTAAAAGCTGTGAAGGATGGATCTAGGAAACAGGAGATTTGAAATGCAAGAGCAACTTTAACAGATTTATCAGAAAATAACACTTCTTGTAATATCTGACAGGCTCATGCAGCTTTCCCACACCTCACATCATACCAAGGCTCAGAACTGAAATCAAACAACAACAGGTTTATTGAGAAGTTGCAGTTTTTAGAAGCCAGACATACTTACAAAGCTTATGCTCTTAAGCCAGGGATATCTAATTACTCCAAAATAATCAATATATTTGTTTTCAACAGTGGTAACAGAAATATGCTATTGTTTTCTTTTGTGGAATCTTTGCTACAAATGCCCATCGCTTTGCTGTTGAAAGCACATAAAATATGCCACTTTCTATAACAGCACATGTATGCAGCGGGATAAGAGTCTGTTCCTGTGCACGCTCCAGATGTGCTGTATGAATGACTGATCAACTGGGAAAAATTACTAAGTTTTGCATGGAATTATGGCTACCACAAAAGGCTGTTATTTGAACAGTAGTTTATCCTTTTAAAACCACTTTTAATTCCTAATACAAAGCAGACTCATAGGTAGGTACAGTAAAAACCTAGGTATTAAAAACTGAGAAGACTCATTTAAAAAGAATGAAAGAAGTTAAATTTGGCTATTCCAGATGAGTGAAAAAAACATTTTCTGGTTAATATCTGGGTTCTTTTCCCTCACTCTACCAATTAAAAGGTTTATGTAGACAAACAAACACAGTTCTTGCAATTCTAAAAGGGCAGCAGTAAGAGCTGTCACGTACTACAGTTTAGCCATTTCAGAATACCACAGATGTAGAGATTGTCCAGATCCTACTTGTCGTGCACAAGAATCTGAACACCACTGCAGTAACTATTTACACACCACATGAAGATACCTGAGGTTTATAAGAAAGTTTACTTAGGCAACCAATACTAAAACTTTAAGAACTTTTGCTGTTCTAAAACCTAATAGATATTCAGTTAGGATTCTTTATAGAAGGGGTTTCAAAAGTCATTGCACTACATTTAAAAGGTTTCATGATTTAATAACATTTTTGGTTTTGACTTGTGCAATATCGAAGGCTTCTGTAACTTCTCTATTTGAGACTGGCACTTCTGGATTAAAATGGAGAGGCTGATTGCAGAAGGCAAAATATCTGTTCTTCACAAAGCTGTTGCTACCACCAAAAGGCAAAAATTCAAACCCAGTTGCTTACCCTAAATGCCAGGGAACACTTGCCTACTCGGGAAGTTTATTCTTAGACGCTTTTAAGACTTTCTTAGTCTTCAGACATTCTCTGACATCATAATCTTTTTCACAGCAATTATGCCATTATGAATGGAAGATTTTATCTTTAAGAGAGAAAAATTGCTTGATCCAGAGTGTAAACAGCCAAGAAAAGTTCCTGGTGTTGGACAAGGGTACAAAACAGTAAGAGCGTGGGTAAGACAGAGGAATGCTTTTATCAAGTCGGTGGGAAGTCTAACCTTAAATAGGGATCAAGATTTCATCGCACTAAATAAATATTAAAAGCATAAAAACATAAAATATTCCCAACATTCATCATTTTTTCTCCTCAGTGGCACCACTCACTAAATTTGCTGTTACAGCATGTCTGTAACGTGACAGCGCCACACATCATTTAACTATTTGTTACACTCAAAATGGTAAAAACAAAAAGCAAACCAAAACTCTAAGCACGGAGCCCTGTGTTTTCCTGTCGCCCCGGTCTGCTTCGCACGCTCCCCGGTGCTGCCCCTCGCGCCCCGTTTCCTCACTTCGGACGCAGGCTGGGCCGCCTTCCCGGAGCGTGCCGGAGGCCGGCGCGGTTCTCCAGGGCCCGGGAGGCCGCGGTGCCCACGGGGACAGAGCCCCAGTCCCGGCTGCCGCGCCGCGTCAGCGGCTCTCGGCGGCCGCCGGCCTCTTGTGGATAAAGCGGTAATAGAGGTACTCGTCGCGAAACTCAAGCTCGTTGGTGATGTGCTGCACGACGCCGCCTCGCAGCAGCCGCTCGCCGTAGGCCACGGCCTCGCCGCGGTCGGCGGCCAGGCCCACGCGCAGCAGCCAGCTCACCAGGTCGCAGCCGAAGAAGATGCCCGTGGAGGCCTTGGCGCTACACCTGTGTGTCAAAGGAATGATTCACCCACATGTGCTGTAAACCTGGCACCGCCACTGCACCACGGGAAAGGCAAGGAAAAGCAGCAGGAAACAAGGAAAGACATCGTGATAGTTAAGAGTGTGTTAGAAGAGAACTTGTAAGCTTTGCATATTAGGGACATGGCAATCTTAACTGCTTTTTTTCTACAGAAACTTCAGTAAACAACAAAATTCACATAAGCTATTTTACACCTGTGCAAATAAGCTACAATAAACATACATATAATATATAATGCTATTTAGCAGACACTTACTTCTCATGTACCCTAATTAATGCAACCATCTCTGCAGCAAAGCATGTGAGCGCAGGGTGCCTGCAGTAGCAGCAGCTCAAGCTGCACTTTAATGCCACTTTGTAATTTCCTTCAGCTTCAACAGACACGGACTGCTTATATATATATATATATATTGCAAATATATATATATTGCAAATAAAAACATTTAACTTGAGTATCTGGTTAAATATTTACCACAGAGGCCAGACTAAGAATAAAAATAAAGACATTTACAACAAGATCAAATTAATCTCCTGTTACATATTTATGAGGCAGTACTAGCTAACAGCAGTAAAAATACTCTTTGGAAGTTAACCTGCAGCAATGAATGTTTCTGGTTATCTAAAATCTGCTCTATGGAACCCAAGTGCAGAGTTTCTGAAGATGATTGGACTTAC